AAAAATATTCGTTGATACTATAACCGTAAATAAAATACGCGATTTTTATACATTACGTTTCTTCTCCAGGATTTCTTTCTCCATTTTCTGCTTTAGCAATGAAGTAGTATGAACGGCCTTTTATCTGAACCTGACTGTTGCAATGACGTCAATCTCAATACAAAAAAAACAAAGACAGAACGCAGTAAATCTGATAACAACGGGACCTATTTCGTGGAGCCTTGCTAAATGACAGTGTACCATTTATCGCTTATTTATTCCCCTAGAAGCCTGGCATGGTGGTATGCGGGATTCGAATATCGGCGTTGGAGCATCTTACATTTTATATCAGATATCTGAATAGCGTGTTTAGATTTTTATTATTTTGAGTAACTATTCATGAGTGTATCGATTGCTTGTTTTGACTTTACTGATACGAATTTATCTTCGTACGTGAAATATTATTAAATATGCTCTAATTTTAACCAATGAAAAAGTTTTCACGGGGAAAATAACATTTATTTTTTCACAGAGAAAATATCTTTTTGTAAAACAAATTACACACGAAAGAGCAGATTTGAGTGTTAGAGATGCAGTGTAGAAGATTGGATTGCCGTAGCCCACGTTTTTCCGGTAAACGTTATGAACAGAATACTATGTATAGCTACTTGATTAATATCAAGATATCCATTCGACCTGTGAAAAAATGATTGATATTCACCAAGAAACCAAGAAAATCCCCTTTATGTTTGGGAAGCGGCCACCGTTATGTAAAAATCAATTTGTAGAAAGTACATTTAGCATCTCTTTATGTTGAAGTTAAAGAGTATATCCACACTTAAAGTTATCTACAATGTTACTGTACAAGTTTTACTGTAAGTGCTGCTGGTAAACCAAATTAGTTGGCCATTAACAAATAGCGTTACTATAGAAACGTATTGATGAAAATAAGTTCTGTTTTTTATCAGCTGAGGTCTTAGGAGCGATAGTTAGGGCCAGCTATGTGTTTTCGTCCTGTTTTGTCCTCAACAAGTGTCGAGTCGACGACCTACTGAACGCTGAAGCTGGTATGGTTATCACTTAAGGATTGAATCATGATTGTCTAGGAAAGACACATTTTATGAACTGCTAATTAACCCAAGACCCATTGAGCTGTATAACCCAGAAACCTCAACAAAACGGGATTCTTACCTTAAATTTACATTCAGTGCGATAATGATATTTTTTAGATATTTTTTAAAATATCGGTCTTGTGCAAGTCTAACAGCACAGAAGGTACCGAAGCGTATGATGTCATCACTCACTGTGAGACGTCGTCATGGTAAGATGAATAACTTGTTTACATTGATTACAACGAAAAAACAAATTAAGATGTAGTTTCGTATTGAAATGGACACTATAGTAGTTACATATTCCCTACTGGACACAATAACATACTTGTATTTATTTTTTAACGGACGATGCACTAGGTACATATATCTCACTAGACGCTCACTGGGTGGTCCGGTGGTGCAGCGGATAGCGCACTTGCCTTTCATTAAGGCGGCCGGGCTTCGATTCTCCGATCGGACCTGAAAATGTTGGGGTTACCTGCCCGATCACGTGGGTTTTCTCCGGGTACTCCGCTTTTCTCCAACACTAAGCCCCCCACGCGCTAACATCCGGGCCAGCAAGAGTGATTAATATAAGTTAAAATAACTTGTTTCATAATTGTTGTAAAATAAATATAGTTTATATACGTTGTTTTATAGACGCTGAAATGGGAACATGTGACCAACCGGACGCTATAGCGGGTACACATGTCCAAATGGCCTTAAATGTGTAACATTTGTACCACTGGACGCTATTAGGGGTTCATATGTCCAACTGGACGATATCACGGTTACATACATGTATGTCCAACTGGACGCTGTAGGTGTGTACATTATCCCGCTTGGCGCTATCCCCACTGGATGCTATAGTAGGTTTGGTTTGTTTTGTCTTTTTTTTGGTTAACGTACTATTATCAGCTAAGGTCATTTAAGGACGTGTCTTCATGTGTGTTGTGTACGAGTGCCGGAGACAAGGTATGTTGGTGTATGTTATGTCTAGAAAGTGTCACCAAGACTGGCATATCGAAACATATAAGATTGTCAAGGTCGAAATCATGCATTTATCTCCATCGTAGTATAAGAATATTGCCGTTGTCGTGTAGTTTTTGGGCGTTTGCAACCAATGTAACAACAGTCCTCGATCGGAACTGATTATTGATGAATTTGTATTTGATGTAATAGATGTGTTTTTAATACAGATTAGGATTAGATATTATTAAGACCAAAGGCAAGTCTACTTCTCAGCACCTGTGTTGCCATAATAGTGCTTATAACAGAACTATTTTTCTTTTCAGTTCATCTGGGTGGCGGATGTTTTGGTGTTACTTCTGTGGCGTTTTTTCCCATAACGAGGTCAAGATATTCTTTAACTGGAACATGTTGTCTGGTTTGGTATATCTTCTGTACATAAAGAACCCGTGTAAGACTTACATGTTTAACTTTGGTTTCCTTTGACGTTTGTTTCTTAATGTTATCTGGAAAATTTGTGAGGAATTTCTTGTTCATATATAAGAGTGTTTGTTTTGGAAAGATGATTTATACATATTCGTTAAAGTTGATGTACTGAACGTCCTGTCAATAGCCAAGGCCACACAAATACGGGCAATGTACTCTAAAAAGGTACTTAATATACATAATTTTGCTATGGTATCATTTGCTTTCAGCTCCCGGGACAAATCTAGGAGAGTATGTAGTTCATTAATGATAATAATCATTATGAACAGGTCATGACTGATTGAACACATTAAGATAACAAAGCTGGTACTTAGGTTATGATTGTCAAATGTCATGGTCACTATGACTTAAATGTCCAGGTTAATGTTATTTATAATAGAATATCACAATGGAACAACTCAACACACATTTGTGTCTTCCAAGAAAAATATAAATATGTTATTCGAATAAATTTTAATGTTCACCTTAAAAATCGAAAACTATTACACATATTAACTTTTTTGGAATTTATACTTTTAAGCTATAGCTTTAGTTAGTAAACCAAAGCCCGTGGTTTGATAAATATAAAAAATTAAGAATATGTTCTAACCTTATTTTTTTCTTCAAACGTTTGATCCAATTATGCTTACTATATATAAGACCAACAGTTCAGGAACATTCGTAAAACTTTGGCATGCTATCCGTTATTTATTGGCAGTGTGTCGGTCGGTGTGGGATGGACAGGCGAAATGTGTGTAATCATGTTCTACACACTGAAGGCATTGAAGCTACTACGAGATCCTCTGGAGTTCGAACTTAAAGGTATCAATAAAATATATTGTCTTCGTTTATTTTCATTTTACCTTCATTCGTGAGATTAAGAAAAAAAGAAATAAAGGTATCCATAAAATATTCTCCTTTTTCTATCAATCCTATTTTAATGTGTTTATTTGTGTTACTTGGTGAGTTGATGACATCAATTGCATCTGAAATAATATAACATTATGTTGTCTAACTGTAATAATATTTCTTGTGTTTGATTATACTACATTGTTTTTGTATCTGACTGTAATATTATTTATGATTTTGACTACCAAACTGTTTCATGTGTCTGACTCCAATACAATTGGATGTGTCTGACTATAAAACAATTTTATGTGTCTGAGTGTTGTATCTATCATATAATTCCATTTGTCTGACTATAATACAGTTGTATGTGTCTAGCTATAATACAATTGTGTGAGTCTGACTATAATACAATTGTAGGTGTCTTACTATATTACAATTGATTGCGTCTGACTATAATAGAATTGTAGGTGTCTGACTATAATAGAATTGGATGTGTCTGACTATAATACAGTTGTATGTGTCTGACTATAATACAGTTGTATGTGTCTAACTTTAATAACAATTAGATATGTCTGACTATAATACAATTTGATGTGACTGACTATAATACAATTGTGTGTCTGACTATAAAACAATTTGATGTGTCTGACTATAAAACAGTTGTATGTGTCTGACTATAATACAGTTGTATGTGTCTAAATTTAATAAAATTGGATGCGTCTGACTATAATACAATTGGATATGTCTGACTATAATACAATTTGATGTGACTGACTATAATACAATTGTGTGTCTGACTATAAAACAATTTGATGTGTCTGACTATAAAACAGTTGTATGTGTCTGACTATAATGCAGTTGTATGTGTCTAAATTTAATAAAATTGGATGCGTCTGACTATAATACAATTGGATATGTCTGACTATAATACAGTTGTATGTGTCTGNTCTGACTATAATACAATTGGATGTGTCTGACTATAATACAGTTGTATGTGTCTGACTATAATACAGTTGTGTGTCTGACTATAATACAGTTGTGTGTCTGACTTTAATAAAATTGGATGCATCTGACTATAATACAATTGGATCTGTCTGACTATAATACAGTTGTGTGTCTGACTTTAATAAAATTGGATGCATCTCACTATAATACAATTGGATGTGTCTGACGATAATACAGTTGTATGTGTCTGACTATAATACAGTTGTATGTGTCTAAATTTAATGAAATTGGATGCGTCTGACTATAATACAATTGGATGTGTCTGACTATAATACAGTTGTATGTGTCTGACTTTAATAAAATTGGATGCGTCTGACTATAATACAATTGGATGTGTCTGACTATAATACAGTTGTATGTGTCTGACTATAATACAGTTGTGTGTCTGACTATAATACAATTTGATGTGTCTGACTATATTACAATTGGATGTGTCTGACTATAATACAGTTGTATGTGTCTGACTTTAATAAAATTGGATGCGTTTGACTATAATACAATTGGATGTGTCTGACTATAATACAGTTGTATTTGTCTGACTATAATTGTATTTATGCAATGCATAAAGTAATTTATATTATCTGGTTGGTATATGATATTTTTATTTGTTATATTTTGTTGGTTCCGGATGGAGGATAACTTTCCGTTTTTGAAAGTAGTCCATCCCTATAGAAGTAGTCACGTGATGTTTTGGTGTACTAAAGTCACGTGACCTGTGCAGAATATTTTTCCATGCTGACATTTTGAAAAATCTCCTTAAAAATCAGCTTTTTCCCTACTTGGAAGAGTGCTGAGCATCTGCTACAGAAGGGGTTCACGTATAAGAGGCGAGGCTAGCTAATGGCAGGGGTATCCTCCCTCGGCTTTCGCCGTAAGTACTGTCAATTTAAACATTTCCCGTGGAAACATCGGTGACGCTTAGCCCGCCAATTTGTATTGTTTGTAAACAAACGCATGTGGGGAAGACTTGTCAAAGATGACGATTACTGCTATGCTGCTTGGTCATTCTTTCGTTAGACGGATTAAATCCTTTATGAACAGTTCGATAGATATTAGGGTGAACGGAAATTTCAATTTATGTCGAACGGAGGTACGAGTGATATGTGAAGGTGAAGGATTCAGACCAGGGCAATAACGTTACCGTTAGTGCAAGACAATGACCCA